CAGGTGAATTTTCCTTAGATCTAGAATATGCAGATGACATAGTCCTGTTAGGTGAAGACGCTGACAAGATGCAGAGTCTTCTGAACACTTTGAGTGGGAATTTGAGAATGTTTGGGATGCGATTTTCACCACCCAAATGCAAATTTTTGCTCCAGGACTGGTCTTCAGCGGTACCGCGGTTAACAATAGAGAGTGAAGTGGTTGAGTGTGTTGACCACTTCACTTACCTGGGAAGTAGGATCAACCCGGTGGGTTAGTTGCCGATGAGATTTCTGCACGGATACAAAAGGCTCGATTGGCTTTTGCCAATTTGCGCCACCTATGGCGCCGCCGTGATATTCGTTTGTCTATTAAGGGTCGCGTGTACTGCACAGCAGTCCGCTCTGTTCTACTGTATGGCTGTGAAACATGGCCATTGAAAGTGGAAGACATGAGAAGGTTACAGGTATTTGACCACCGTTGCCTTCGTAGTATAGGACGTATTCCGTGGTGTCACCATGTGAGTAATGCAGAGTTTTGGGGAGGAGAGGTAAGTCAGTCGACGAGGTTGTGAACCTTCATCGACTGAGATGGTTGGGACACGTACTACGTATGCCTAGTCACCGATTGCCTCGTCACACAATGTTGGCTGAGGTGGGTTCAGGCTGGAAAAAGGCCCGAGGTGGCCAGACTAAAACATGGCACCAATGTATGAAGTCTCTGACTGTTGGTTTAAGCCATGTAGGACGATGCAGACTAGGTGGTTGGGGTCCACGGGACAAGAGGAACCAGTGGTTGGAGACCCTAGGTGATATGGCTCAGAACCGAAGTCAGTGGCGCAGATGTATACACACATTATCCTCATCTTAACAACGCTATACCGAATCTCACTATTTTGTCACTCCTCTTTCCTTTCTTCTCGTACTTTATATTTCTTTTGACTGCATTCACTTATCTTCATCCTTCACCTCACTACCTTTTTACTTGATGTGCTGATATGAGGTGTGGCAACTCGGACCGTTACGCAGTAATGCCTGGTCCTATGTTGATAATGATTGATTGACATCATACAGAGAGTAGTGAGTTTCTAACATAATCTGTTGGCAAAAGTTGTTTTTATCAGATTTCTGAGTTTCAGACTTTCTGCAACTGCATTTCCTTTGAAAGGTAAAGTTAGATGTAATCGTTTTTTCGGTACCATCTGAAGGCAGCTGTTTTCACTGGGACAGTTCTCACGACCTTTTCAGGGCAGCCATTTTCCTATAAAGAGTTTCCTATTATACTCATTACACCGTTCAATTAATCAAAAGATAGACAGATGGACAAGTCCAACGTAGAACCTCCCAAACAAAAGCATTGGTTTAAGTTGTCACACTTCACAGTAGTATGCAGAGGACAAGTGGACAAGAAAAATGATATCAAAGTGATCAAAATGTGAGATGATAAACTCAAAAATAAAGATTAGTGCGAATATTCAAGCTTTAGATGTCAAAGAGTTAACACATCCTCAACCGCTGATTTTATCGTCTTGAGGACCCCAACTAGGTAGTCTACATCTCCCCTACACGGCTCGGAGCAACAGTCAGGGACTGTATCGACTAGTGCCATCTTGACCTGTCCAGTCTGAACCCTCTTCCAACCTAAATTACCTTCCTCTAGTATGGCATGCGACGTAGGCGGTAGCTAAGGACGCGTTGTACGTATCCCAGCTATCCCAGTCAACTAAGGTTTATAAGCTCATTGATCGACTTACCCAGTACCCTTCACCTAACGTCAACATTGCTCACACGGTGATTCCACCACACGCAAATGCTACGAAAACGCTTATGATCAAAGATATGCGAACGCTCTTTCTGCTTTCAACGGTTATATCTCCCGGTCGTATAACAGGATAGAATAGACTGCAGCACAGTATACTCATCCTATAATACGTAGTCAGATATCTCGCTAGTAGAGCTACAGATGACGCGACTCACCAAATGCAAAGTGGGCCTTTCGAATCGCAGCTGAGATTTTATCATCAACCCGCCCGTTTAGACTGATGCAACTCCCAAAGTAAGTGAAGTGGTTCCCACATGTCTTGACTTTACTACCTATCATTAAACTGGGAATAGCTGGAGACTAGTCCTGGAGCATCATTCTACATTTGTCAGGAGTGAAACGCATGCCAAACATACTCAGATTTCTGCTCAACGCGTTCACACGACCCTGCATTTTGTCAGCGTCTTCACAGCCACCAGGATAATTTCGTCTGCGTACTTCAAGTCAACCAGACGCTTTCAGCGGTAGACTAATCCCTGTGTTGTCAGATGTACTTCAGGTTATGTCTATTGATCCATCTTCGACGAAGTAAAATAGGAACGGTGACAGTGGTCATCCCTAACGAACACCACAAGCTGTCATTCAGAAGGTAACTCTCGATAAGCTTTAACACGGCTGCGTGAGTCCGAGTAAAGCTTTGACAAAATTATATATTTGCGGTGCAGTCTTTTGACAGTCAGACACTGCAACACCTCATGGTTGAAAGAGTCAAATGCCACCTCCAGGCCATGAAATATGGCAAATGTTAGCTGCCGGTAAGTACCCCTATGTTCTAAATCTTGTAGAGGGGTGAAAAAATGGTCGATGTATCCTCCTCCAGATATGAAACCTGCCTGGTCCTCTCGAACTCCAATTAAGCGTCGGATAACTATGGACCCCAGGATTTCGGACGCAACATTAGTCAAATTATCCTATGGTTGCCACAAGAAGACTTCTCTCCCTTGTAGACTGGGATTATCAGTCAAGTAGGCCAGTCTGACAGCACTACCTCTGTTTTCCATAGACTATCTAGTACCTCCATCACTAGTAGTAGTTTCCTGCCTTCATCTTTGAGAACCCATGGTGGCAAACTGTCAGGTCCTGGTGCTTTGAATCGTTCCAGGCTCGATACACCTTTCTCAACTTCCACAAGGCTGGAAGACTAACATCTACGTCCCACTCAGTTTCAGTTCTGGAAAACTGAAGCGTTGCTGAGGGCCAGTTGAACTGAGCGCTTTGAAGTGTTCGGACCGCCTGTCATGAAAGGTTATCAGCGTCCCATCTTTTTCAGGTGATAGTTTCTTCTTGCTGGTATCCCTAATAAGCCTAAATGGTTTCCGTGTATTACCCAACGATGATGCCTTCTCCATCTCCCTCACTCTCGTCAATTAGGTAAAGTATCTCATGAAGTCGTACAAATGACAAGAATTTTTTTGCATCGACGTTTGAGTTAGCTGCGAACCTTGAGAGCAAAGCATCTCATTAAATAGTGGAAAAACAATTTTACACCTCGAAGTAACCTAACGAAGACCGGCAACTATATATAATAATTATTTTATCAAAGTTCTCGACTGTCAAAAGGTCAATTGGCACGGCTGTCTAAATGAAGATACAACAGGCTAGAATAAAGTAAACATGTAGGAAATCACCGATAGGTGAGCAACAGTAAATAGTATTAAGAAAAGCAATAAATGATGAAGTCGATTAATCAAGTCACATGAGAAAAACAATTCCTATGATTTCATAAATGAACAGAAACTAAAATAAGCATATATATAATCCTTACGTAGGCACATTACTAAGTAGACTTAAACTACTAACTCATCATAGATATTAGTCAATGACAAGAACAGTTTAAGTTCCAGGTTAATGGGTTCATGCTCTACTCAAGAGAGATAATAAATGTTCAGGATCTGTTGTTTTTCTTTGCTAACAGCAGAAAAACTGTGTTAAGGTACAGAATAAATTCGAAATTTTTAGTCCTTTGAACAAGAAATACGACGTAAACACGTGCATCAACTTGTTTTCCAGTTTGTAAACAAAACTAGGTAGTTTGTAAAAACACCCCAACAGTCAACAGACATAGCGAAAGAACAGCTATAGCTAGGGTAAAGCGCAATAACATCATCACGGAATTTGTTTCCAGAAACGTTTTCGTTAGAATCTATCTAACTGTCTATCTCCAAGTGAAGAATTCGCAATCGACAGGTGTCAAGATACTGCTGAAGCTCACTAAGGATATTTCATCAATTGTTTTTCTATACCGAACTTCTCCCAATCCCTCAAAATAATATATGAAAAACAATTAGAACGAAACAAACTCGATGTATTGCGGTTTTTAATCCGTTTTGATTTAAAAGGCTAAAAAGTTTGGTTTCAATCTCACGTTTTCAACTCAGAAGACTTAATTAATTTGGAAATATCTGCTTCTAGCTTCTCTAAGTCATTATCCATTTCAGCAAGTGAATATTAATTAAGAAAAGTAGCTACGATACAAAATGTTTTTGACAACAAAAAAATATTAACAGCAAATTCAGTCTTAGACTAAAGGAATCAGTACCAAGAAATTGTCAGAAAAGCATCGAAGCTTAGAAATACTTGTGTGGGACAATGCAAAATGACAAAGAGTATTCTAGATCCTACTTAACCTACTGTAAAACAACCAGTAAGCTACTTTTCTTGAGGCTCAACCAATAGATAATAGTCACGAAAAGGCGTGATACCTATTGTTTGCCGTCTTGACGGTAAGTGTGAAAAGTTTAAGTAGTATCTATAATCTATCGGCGACGTGCGCCAGAAATCTAGAAAAATTATATGGTCAACCGCCGAGTGAAACCCAGTGACTTCTCTTGCCAAAAAATGAAAATTATCATTGAAGGCAGTAAATGAAAGACAGACGTAGAACCCAAAGAACCATTGTCTACTTATTCCACAACACGAAGTTTGAATTACAGGTTAAGACTTGTGCCTAACCCAATCCCCGAAAATTTGCATCGCCTGATCACCCAATACAGTTGTGTTCCACATTCAACACGGCGGAAAACCTTTACCGATCTATTCAAATCTTTTCTAAAAAAGTGTTAAGTAATAGTGCAACCGTACACCCCTATTGTTGAAACACAGCAGAAGCGAAATCCAATTTGGAAACGGGATAAGCACCCTGAAATATACGTCCTCGGTATATTACGGTACAGATGGCAATGGTGAAGTATTTGCTAAGCTTAGGGAAATTTTGATGAGGAATAACCACGACATAAGTTCTTGAAGGCTCGCACAAAGGATATTACTAGTTGAGAACTTTTGCTCCATTGTAGCCAACGTCTTCTCGATTTCCTGAAGAGAGGTTTCCAGCTGAATTTTATCACAATTTTATCACATGCGTCATACCTGAATGTTAATAACTTCCAACTCTTTCCGACAAGCATCCGATGACTTTGCGGAAAACGGCAAGTCGTCTACTCGCTCTTGACTACCCGCCATTTTTTAATATGCGTACTTGTAGTTGGCATAAATTATACATTATAAACTTAAAACACAAACTTTCAATGACGGATTCGCAGGTACATGCCAAAGGATTCTACTTAATTTCCATCAGGATCTCGCTTGGTATCCCATCACATAAAACCTTTTATGTTTCTGTAGCTGAAAGTAGCTATGCGTTTCCTCACTGTTCAAATTCCATTATCACATGCAAATTGTATATATTATGGCTACTTTACTTTACCAACCAACCTTCGAAATGGTTTCAGAAAGAGATCACGACAGCTGGAACAATCACTGCAGGAGATGGTATTTATCGGTGAATTTTTCGCACAAATTAGTGGGAAATAGGTAAGGAGGTCTGTAGCTTAGTATTCGAAGTTTTCTCGAAAAGACTTCCAAAGTTCTAACTGGTTTTTTTGACCATAAGAAACACTTTCACAACTTCAACGGAAGGACCTACTGTTAAGCTTAGTAGCTGGTAAGTTTTTTGTCTCGTAGGTACGCTTCTGCAGGCAGGCGCGTAGGATAATGTGAGTTTTATGCCGATCTCGAGAATCTGTAAAAGGAAGAAACGAAAGGTATGGGCCAGATAGTCGGCAATCAAAAATAATGTGCTTAAGATAAGTGACGAAAGATAACTGGTGGACAGTACGAGTCAACATCAACAACCAGTGGCAACATTTAGCCTTTTACGCGAGGCGGTCATAAGGGGCGGAAACAAGGTACAGCACATTTGGTAGGGAACTCCTAGTTATGTACTGTTCTATATGCCATTTTCGACATTCGGTGGAAGGTCGTGACCTCATCACTTTCACACACTGCAAACAGATAACCTTCTATTAGCATTTGACAAATGCTCCCCTCGTGAGTGGCGACAACTGGATTGCATTTCCCACTTCACGTCAGGTATCCGCCACATTCCTGGGGCAAATAACTCCGTAGCCGACGCGCTATCTCGAATGGCTTCTGCAAACCATATCGAGGGCATTGATTTCGTGAAACCGGCTCGGAGTAAAAAAGAAGAACCTTAGCTGCGCCATGAGTTGTCGTCCACAACTCTCAAGCCACAACTGTGTCCGGTAGGGTTAGGCAAGGACACAACTTTATGCGATGTCTCTGATATTCAACCACGCCCAGTGGTTCCACAGAGATGTCGGTGCAACGTCTTCAATACGTTGCACAACCTGTCCCGTCCAGGTGTATGAGCCACCATCAAGCCTATTGCACGGTTTCTGCTGGCCGGTAATGAATAAATACGTTGAGCAATGAGCTCAATCGTGCTCAGTTCGTCGGAAGTGTAGTCAGCGTGACACAAGAAAGGCCCTTCAGGTTCTTTTCCAGCCCTTGACATTTCGACCACGTTCATTTAGATATTGTAGGACCTCTACCAGAATCCTTGAGTTTTCACCTGCATAGATCGTTTTACGTGACGGCCAGGAGCAGTACATATTAAGGATATTGTTGCTCAAAATGTTGCCCTTGTTATTGTGCAAAGATGGATCGCGAACTTTGGATATCCGCCTTACGTTACAATCGACGAGGGCGCAAATTCGAGTGTTGATTATTTCACGGTTTAACTGAACTTTTAGGTTGCACTCGGTTTCGAACGACAGCCTACCATCCACAAGCAAATGGCATGGTAGGACGATTCCATCGACTGCTGAAGGCTTCCCTTTCAGCTGCAGACATTTCTCAGTGGAGCAAGGCTCTGCCTCTAGTCCTACTAGGTATTCGTAACGCGTTAAAAGCTGATGCTGGATGCATCTCTCCGGAACTCGTCTATGGGACTGTTCTTCGCCTACCAGGTACGTTTGTTTCCCCCAGAACTTTCAAACTTTTTTCAACGGGACGCCCCACGTGACTGGGCTCAGGAACGCAATACGTCCAGTTAGGTTTACTCCTGCTAGACATAAAACAACCGATGTCCTCTTTCGGCCCATCTCACAAAAGACATCACACTTGTTCATTCCCTATAATGCCGTTTGTCGACCACGTGAACCGCCTTACAGTGGACCATTCAAATCTATCAGGCGGCGTGAGAAATTCCACATAATCGAGCGAAAGGGATGTGAAGATACTGCTACTATCGACCGTTTGAAACCAGATTATTCCGAAGGCAATCCCATCATAGGTGACGTTTCAGCTGTCTATAGGAGACTGGCGGATGGTCCAGTTATCGAAATTCTTGACTATGTGCCTGGCAATGCAGAGATACAACAGTCACCGACGCAACAGAAATCAAAATCAGGTCGGACCGTCAGGTCCCCGGGGTCTTTAAGATCGTATTCAACCAAGCAGTGCAAAACAAAATGTGCCAACCACTTTTTAATTCAATATTTTTTCCGAACAACCATCTTCATACTCACTGGGAATGCGGAAGTCCTCCTACCATTTCACCTCAAGGTTTCTGCTACCACGTAATGAAACGTCTTCAAAAAACAAAATGAAAATAAGCGTAAAATCTGTTTTTGATATATTTATACATAAATGTTTCCCATTTTTACAAAACTTTTTCGTGGTATCAAAGACTTTTATTTATATTCCAAGTGCGACAAGCACTTAACGGAACGTTAAGGGACGCTGAGGACCGCGATCGATGTACGATCCGATGCATCATGGTTTATTCCCTCATTCTCCATGATACCCTAGAATAAATTCAGGCAACCAAGGGCCACTTCTCACAGTGAGCCCATCGGAAGAGTTTTACCGGTGCAGAAACCACTGGGTTCTTACTTCCGGCTGGTATTATCTTAGAGTCATCGCGAACACACTAGGGGGAGTGGTCTGTAGCGTCACACACCTCTCCAGAATCAATAGCCGGGGGTTCAGCGAGATTCAACGCTGATGCTGACCATGATAGTTTAACTGGACTCGCTAAGCTGAAGGCACCTGGTCAAGCATCCTCGCCATTTGGCACGTTGTCGTGTTACGTTGCGTTGCCCTTAATCAATCCTCCAGCCAGTTATTTGGGGCTCATCGGTATGCTGACACGACCTTGCAAATATACTAATTGATCCGACTACGCTATTGTGTTCTTTCTTGATCTCGTGTTCCTGAATATATAACAAGTTCGAACAACTAGTGGTCGACCTCTGAGTCTGTCAAGTTCGCACCAGGACAATCCCTAAAAGTAGACACTTATCGTCACATTTCAGACTTGTTTTAATAAACCATACCTTATGTCAACATTGAAGAAGTGTGTGTTAACAACCCATAAGTACTGTTGAAAACTAGGTAATCACTTGCTTGTGAGGGACAGAAACTCACCAGTCACACTGGTACACCCCACTGTTGAGTCTTGTCACGTTCGAGAAATGGGTGGTGCATTGTCTAAAGAACTGAATACCAGAAATTCTTCAACTCGCCGAGGATTAAGAGACATAGTAAGTTATTTTGCAAGCCATAGTAGCCTTTTACACCTCTACTTATTAATGCCCGCTCGCTACTTAAGAAAATATCTGAACCTAGGAACAAAAGTTTTATAAACCAAACCCACTGCGTTACTAGCTACTGAATCATATTGTACTGACTCAATCCTACACATAGACCTGTGTGTAGACCGCTACACTCTGTATTGCAACAGTTGTGGCCACAAGCGTGGGGGGGGCCGTTTGACCTATGTGCATAGCCTTGCTACTTCAAACAAGATCGAAGATGATATCTACAATGATCTGCCGGACTCACTTTGGGTCGTTACAAACGGTGTCAATTGCAAAGTCCTCATAGGCTGTGTGTATAGAGCACCATGTTCGGCAGATGAAAATGATGAACTAATGGCCAGATCATCTGCCCGTGTGGGATCCCTCACTGTTGACTTCCAACTGATTACGGGTGACTTTGACTCATCCGAAGTCAACTCGGAGGCCGGTAGCGGCCCACAACGATTTGATCAAATACTTGCTGTCATGGATATTTACGGCTGGAAGCAATATGTCCAGCAACCTACGCGTGGGGATAGCGTACTGGACATAGTCTTTTGCCGCGACATCATCTCCGTCACTATGTACGCTAGCAGCGAATTCTCCAACGGTGACCATCGGATGGTATTCTGTCGCTTACCAATTCTTCCTCCCAATGGGAAGAAAAAGCGATCTTCAAATTATACCCGGCATCGAATCTAGAAGAATATGGGATGGGAAGTACTCATCGAGCCCCTCGGGCGCTCTCCACGGGATGCCTACTTTACCACAGCCTCATTAACACGTACGCTCTCACTTTTCTACAGAAATATAGTGCTGTGTCCAGATACTGTTGCTTCTGCGAAAACAGTTAAGGTTTATGAGGAGCCAGACTTATATACCCCTAAAATACTCCGCAATAAACTCAGAAAATTATCACCATGTCACTGCACTTAATTTATGCGACTTATGGATCTATTAAGACACTAAGTGCAAAACACGCGGTAAACGAAGATATCGTCACCCTAAAAAGTGGCTCTAGACCACACAAGTTGACATCTCCTTTGAGTAAACATCTACATCCATCAAGGGATGTAGCCTATTTACTACATAATGGATTGGCACACAACTATCCCTTCAAGATTACTGAACTGTTTAGTGAATCATTCTCAAACTTAAACCATAATATTTTTAACCCCACCAGTTTTACCGTAACTACTACTGGTGCATGTGATAAAGCGGAGTTCACCGTCAAAGGTATCACAGAAGCTATCAAAAGCTTGAGACTATCGACAGGTATGGGATGGATGGCCTTAATTCAATAGCCATCAGAAATAATGGTGACGATATGCCGCTGCTCTTGCTCAAGATATTCACACTACCAATGAAAAGTGGGGAGCATCCCAGTGAGTGGAAAACTAGCTTTATAGTTCCTCGCTACATGTCCGGTGACAAAGCGAATGCTAGTAACCAAAGACCTATCAACATAACGCCAGTCGTCTCCCGAATTATGGAGAAAGGGATTAAGAGTAGCATGTCTGACT